GCACCGCGATGGGGACCAGACAGCTCGGTGTCAGAAGTTTCCACCATCCAGCTTGAATTCCGCGACCTGACCTTCACCACAAAGGACAACCGGTTTAAGGAGGCAGCAGACACTGTCATGAACCACCTGCACAACCTGCCCAAGACGGATGGGCTGGTGCCCATCTTCATCAATGCCAACACAGGACAGTTCCGCCAGCAATCGACCATCACCTTTGGGGCCAGGGCCGACAGTTACTATGAGTACCTTTTGAAGCAGTGGCTTCAAACTGGCAAGTCAGAAAGAAGGTCAGAGGGGCTTCCTTTCCTTTCATTTGATTGAGTTGCAGGATGTCCAGTTCTCATCAAAGAATTCTTGAGGTCAATCAATTTTGTCTCCAGTTTGGGAGAACAGAGCAGTTGAAGGCAATTGCATTACTTACGTATATCTGTTGTGCGATGATTGGGTTGTTGTGCATTGAGTTCTTGTGAAGGTACACATACAGTAATATTAGCCAGTTTGGTTGCTTATGATCAATATATTGTTACATCTATTCATGCTTTCCAGCATACGTTCATTTGCTTATGAAAGTCAAATTTTTCTTTGTTCTTTGTTTATTTTTCCCTCTTAATGTTCAGGTTTAAGGAAGATTTCGATGCAGCCATGACAGGAACCAAGAACCGTCTTTTGCGGCGATCAGGTCCCAGCAATCTGCTTTTTGTGGGTGAACTAGTGAACAAGAACTTTTCGCCCAAGATGGTAAGTTTGCAGGTTAAGAACAGAGACACAAAGAATTGCTGGAAAAACAGGGTACCCTAGCCATGGGCTACCATTACCTCCATGTTCTCAGCTGGTATCATCTTTTGCATAGGACCACCTGGTGTGTTTTCTGCCAGGCACCCAGGCCCTGGGCTACTTCCATGGCCTGGATGAATCCTACTTGGAGCTGGCCCACAATCTTGCCAACACTTGCTACCAGATGTACGCACAGATGCCCACGTTTCTCAGCCCAGAGATTGCCCACTTCAACATGCTGCCTGGCACTAAGGACGACATAATTGTCAAGGTGAGTCGGGAAACACATGTTTAACAGAGTGATATTTCTCTGGGAAGCAGCGAAAGGCATGCCGGGGGTCAGAGTCCTAGAAGTGGAAATCTTTATTTCTGTACCAGTTGGCTGTCCAGTTGCACAAACCAGTTCCCAATGATAATGCGTGAAGCAGCGAATACAAACTTTGGGAGCATCTTTGTAATAGGAATACATCCATGTTCTCAAAATCAAGATTTGTTTTTTGGTTTTTCTTTTACCATTGAGAAAGATCAAAATGTCAGTTTTTCCAAATGTGAGATCTTTGTCCCATCTTGATGGACATGTAAAATAAAGGGTACTTCTCCCTGAACTGACATCCTCCTGTCTTTGGTAGCCGGCTGATGCCCACAATCTACTCCGCCCAGAGACGATTGAGAGCTTCTTCTACCTGTATCGCATCACCAAAGACGAGAGCTACAGGGACTGGGGATGGCAAATCTTCCAGGCCTTTGAGCGCTACACCAAGATTCCTGGAGGTGGCTACTCGTCCATCAGCAATGTCAAAAATCCTGACAAGCCCTCCTTCCGGGACAAGATGGAGAGCTTCTTCCTCGGGGAGACACTCAAGTATTTCTTCTTGCTGTTCAGCGACGAACCGGACTTATTACCCCTGGACAGATATGTGCTCAACACTGAAGGACATCCTCTCCCTATAAGGACAATAGATGGTGCCATCATGCACTAGCTGGTCATCAAATGATGTAATAAATGGATTCATCGGGACAACGGGCAGTGACATCTGGTTTTTTATTCAGTGATTTATAGAATGCCCGTGAGTGGGTGTGGAAGTGCTTGGGAATGATTCTGATTTTTTTAACCGAAATAACTTGATTCTTGCATTGAGAGAGAAGATAGAGACTGATAATGTGATGACCACAAGGAGTCTTGAAGCCCGATGCAAAAATGCTGAAATATGTGGCCAGGTGTCTGGGAGAAACAACTCAGTCCATTACAAGTTGTAAACGCTACTTTTAAGTAATTTGGCTGCATTTACAAATGCATCCATGAAAAATGGTAGCAGCCCCAAGCTTTTATCTGTCTTGAGCAGAAGCACCCCCTATTTTTAAAAGAGCCAGGTCGGTGGGGGTATTCATTTTGTTGGCAGCAATGGGATCGTAACACATGCATTTCATAGTCATTTGTGAACCAGGGCATTTCCCACAAAAGGGTTCTCCGTTGCTAGGAAAACTGCACCCTCTCTTGCTCTAGCTCAGGGGCTCATGGGTACAAGCGTATCATTTGCAGCTGTGGGCAAATGATTCAGATGTGCAGCTGACACGTTTCAAATAGTTGAGGAACGGCTAATGTTATTATTCCAGGTGGCACTGGAAACCCAAGCTGGCACATGTGGATGTTTTTTGTCAACGCTTCTGATATAGTGCTCACATTGCCAGTGCTATTTCTTTGTATGGTCTTATAGGTCTAGCCTTCAAATACATAATCTCCGTTCACGTGGAATGCAGTACCTATTCCTGTGCATGAGATGTCATACGGATATCTGCATGCAGACCAACCTTAGATCCTGCAGCCGCATGAGTGATATTTGGGCTGTGGTCAGAGTAGATCCCAAGTCAGCTCACGTGGGCCTGTTAGTGGACTATGAAAAAGGGGGCCACTAAAAATCAGGCAGACTTTCAATAGCTCGAAGTTCAAATGCAGGATAGCAAACTGGTCTTAACGTACAAGGTGAGCATTCCCGAGAGCGGCTGTCACTTGTGTGTGAATTCTCAATGGCTCTTGTTCAGCTACTGAAAATTAGGATTGTCAGATTTTGCAGTGACATACAAGGAGCAAAATGACGAATGCAGTGTCCGTTTCCCAGCAGCCGAGCAGTTTTAAGCAACGTACTGGTAAGACTTCAGCACGACACAAGCAAGGTCTCGTTGGCCTTCCGCGCTGAGATGTCCACATGACTAACTCGCACGGTACTGTAAGTGGTGCTATTATCTTTGGTGTAGGCCTATGTACAGTACACGTCATGTACAACATGAAGCATGCATGGACTGCACTGCTCAGCACGCCACTTAAAGGGACGACTTTCCCGTTGTTGTGCGCAGAGATGGCAAGACGTATTTTTACCATATTTGGTAAGGGGGACCGCTGAGACTGGGAGAGAGCTGAGACGAGCACATCGGGCCATCTCAGGAGGAAAAGACATTTGAAAACAATAGTTTCACATGAAATGTGTTCACCAATGCAGGTGAATAGCCTGCCGAGTTACTTCATACAGGGTGTGCAGATGTGAGCTATCCAGTTTGTGGTGTACTGTGCCCTTTTCTATTGTGTGTGAGAAATGCTCAACTGCATGCTAAGTTCCAGCCAGGTTGAGTACATTAAAGTTGGGGAAATGGGACCCAAGTGGTTGTCAGTTTGTGATGTCTTTTTCCTTACATATTTTGAAAACTCCGAGAGTAGAAATGTCCTTTGCCTGTATGGGAAAGGAGCTAGAATATTTGAATTCCAGTTGCCTTGGATTATGTACTCCATTATACAAGGTAGCAACAAGTGCAAAATATGTATCACATTGTTTACATGTTTTGAGAGAGACTCGTATTGCACTAGAGACCCTTTTTTCATGTATTTTTTAACAAGTGGGTAAGTTTTTTTTAATGCTGCATGGCTTCTGCCATACAGTGCTTTTGAGTCAAAGGTGCTTTGTCTATTTTAATGTCCTATGGACAAAAAAGGAAGAACTCTGAGAAAAATTACAGCAAGAGAAATCTTGACGTCAACATGTTCTTGAACACCGCCGACACAGTTGCTGAATTTTTTTTCAATGTGCAATCTACATATATGTACAAACTTAACTTGTGAATATTTTAGAAGCACAGGAAGCATGTTCCGAGTCTTGTAACAAAACTGAGGTTTCAGCAGGAGGCCCTATTTGGCACCTAGTTTGTCCTGTTGTCTGATTTCAAAGCATGTAAAAACAAAACAAAACAATCCATTTTGCCAATTGAGGGGGAGGATTAAGGCCTGTGGGTTTAATTTTACAGCCTGTGCCGCATTTCATCCAGAAAACAATGGATTGCAATGTTCTCTGTTTTGGGCCTTCCCCCCCCCCAAGATGGATATCGGCAATGGTTATTATGGTTTGCCCTATTGTCACACTTTCAGTTTCCTATTTCTTGAAGCACTTCATGAAAACATTGGTGATCAATTAATTATTTTAACCTGTGAGTCAAGTAAGAGGCCAGTACACTGCAGATATTGATGTTTGAGTCATTTTAGCCTTTGTTTTATCAGTCCCACCATGAGTTGTTTTTAAGTGACATCAGTGAAATACTTAATCAGTAAACATGCCTTGCATTCATGCAGTTTGTTGTATAGCGTAGCAGTCTAAGGTTTAATGCACCATGCTTGTACAGGGTGTCCACATAAAAAGTATACCGAGATAAAAATTACTGTAATAGCAAATTTACTTTATATATGGGAAAGAAATATATCTCTAGAAAGGGCAGAATGCCCTCTTTGTAATGGTTTTTGTTTTCAAGAATGCGTTCTTAAAGCAAAGGCATTTGGTATTCTGCACACTTGCATGGTCTAGCCTTGTTAATCACATATGCAAACTTGTCAGAGTGCCGATTTCAGTTCCCTTATTACCGGTCTAGTTTGTTCACTCATCTGTGTCAATAACATCACAAGCTGTATACCACTGCAAAGAGGGCATTCTGCCCTTTCTTGAGATATATTTCTCTTTCCCATATATAGAGTAGTTTTGCTATTTCAGTAATTTTTATCTCGGTATACTTTTTATGTGGATACCCTGTAGTTTTGAGCTCAGAAAAAAGTCTGACATTCCATCCGGTTTTCAAGGACACTTCTGTTAGAATGTCTTTCATTGCTGTTGAGAGAATGTACAGTATTTTTGGTCATTAATATTTTTTTTTTTGGTCACCTTGCTAGTTTAATTACTTCAGTAAGCAAATCACGGGAGACTGTAATGAACTTGAATTTGTTGAAAGTACAATTGCAGGAAAAGAAGATGGTCAGTTACAGTTATAACTATCGGGCATGCAACTTGGAATTCGACCCCAAAATTCCAATCTTTACAAGACTTTGTACGGTGTTTTTAAATTTTCAATGGCATGAGTGTGAAGTGAAAAACGAGGATATCAGCTGATCTGAGGAAAAGTTGCATGCCTGACCTGTGTCTCCGTCACAGTACCCTATCCTATTGACCCCAACAGTCCTGAATCCTACAACTGTTGGGGCTGGTAAATGCACCCCCAGAGGATTAAAAAAAAAGTCATGTAAGTAGAAAAGTGTTACTTTGGGTGGCTCTTTCATCCCCTTTTCTTTCCAATGCATGTAAAAAGCCCCCAGATTTTACCTTCACCCGCCAGAAAGGCCATAAAAGGCTACATGAAGAAATGTATATGTTATTTGGACGTGGGAAAAAATTTTCCTCCATCTCTAAAATTTGCCTTTCTGGATTATTAGGTTAAGGATGCCATCTGCAGAGAGATCATCACGAAGTGCAGGTGCTAGGATTGTGCACTTAAGGTATAGGTCATGGGACATGACGAGACATACGTGTAACATGATGAGCATCTTTTTCATAGTGCACGAGCTCTGGCAAAATATTTCCAGCCACTTTATTATCGTGGCCTGCTCTATAAGCCCTTATCCATGAACATACAAGACAGCATATTGCATTTTGGAAACTTTTGGAACTGGAGTCGGTAGGAACTACGTAACGGCAAGATTCTTCAGTACTTGTAAATAACTCCAGGATCAACATTGGCAGTTTGCTGGCCATGCCATCGTAGGTGTTATTGTAATGTTACTGCTTGCACTAAGTGGAACTGTTTTTATGAGAGAAATTGTGTAGCCACTATTTTGGATACAATTTCTTAGATTCAATGATGTGTACATTTTCATAACGGAGTGATGTTTAGATAGCTGGTCTATTTATCATGGCATTTTTTTTATTTATTTTACGAAATGGCCCAAGGGAATGGAAAAGAAACCTTAAGAATTCATTTACATTTTCAGTCCATTGCAGTTCTTTGCACTGTAGATATTTTGGTGATCTTTTCGTTCATGAAGTCGTGCTGAAATTTGGGTTTTTTTTTCAGTATTTTCTTGCCTCAAAAATGTTTGGCCAAGATCAGATTGAATGACTCAGTTTTTGTTTAAATTAAAGGAACAGTTCAATCTTGTACTTTTGTAATTGTATAATAAACCAATGTATGCAACACAGATTTGTTGTATATACGGAAATTTGACACGTAATTATAATTATTATACTGTTCAAATGAGACATGCGATTTGGAATTGGGTATTGGTATTCAACGAAATCAATAAATGTACTTAGATTTATCCAGTTGATGGCAGATCTTTGTTGAGATTGTAACAAGGAAAAATTACACAGTTGGGTATCTTGGAATCAAACACTCTGTCGAGATAAACAGATAGATATAGAACAGATAGACAAGTCATGACAAAATATTAAAATGTAGTTATAGTTGCATACACATATATGCAAATGTTGTATTTCCAAAACAAAAGAATGACCCAAACAAAAACTTGACTAAGATTTCACTCTGTAACAAGACAAAACAGAACTGGAACAATAGATTTGAACCCAAAACTACAAAATCTAAAATTATGTTAAACCAAGACTGAAAGAAAATGAAACTTAACACTACCAACATTGCAGAAAAATTTAGAAAACCTAGAACTGGAAGGAAAAAGAACTTTTCTCAGTAGAAAAATACGAACAGATGTGCTCTGGCTACACCACCATCATCATTACATCACCATGCTGTCACTCAATATCGAGTGTGACGTCAGCAACCTGAAGTCAGGTGACTACTCATCAAAGTGGATTTCCAAGAAGCTTTTGATTAACTTAGCGACTCCTTCACGAAAAGCACCCCGCTGGTTGCACTGAAGCAATTCCCGTGACAAGCCCGTCATTTCCTCGGCCTTGTCTGAAATCTCCATCTCTGGATCTACGCACAGGGCTAACTTGTCAACGACACGGGGCGGTGTTTGACTGTTCGCCTCACATTTCTCCAAACTCCAGCGATCGACGGCGTGGAGGCAGATCTCTATGATTTTGCAGTGCGGACCCAGGCCCGTGGTCTCTATGTCAAAAAGATAAATGTTTGCATGGTGCTTGGTATCACACGACATAGCTGCTGACAGCCTACAAATTGAACCGTAGAGATACCCGCGGTTAGTACTACAGTGCGCGTTCATTTCTGGACGTTTGCTCGACTCAGGATTTCCTCGGGTGGCCTAGACCTCGTGGCCTGAAGCGCCTTGGAGTCGGGACTTCTGCCTCTGGCAGTGTTGAGTTGTGGACAGTGTGGCTGAAAAGAGCATTCCTCCGGCGGTTCGTAAGTGTGACGTCACTTCAGTTTAAACCACGCCCACTGCACATGCCGAGTACATAGGGTTACATCATGGAGAAGTATTGATCGTCATTTACAACGAACCATGTAACCGGAAGTTAACGCGCAACCTGGAGCCTGCAAATCGTGGCGCGTCTGCCTTTGTGACGATGTCACTTACGTGTGACGTCACTGTGAACCAGAAAGTGCAGTGCAAACGAATTCTTTCTTCTCTGGTTCTCGCGCTAATGCCTTTTACACGCTATTTGTGCGCGTGACGTATTCACTTCCGTACTCTAGAGTACTGAAGTGAATACGTCGTATTTTCTTGCCTCCTTGACTGAATAAGAAATTATAGACACTGTTAATAAGTTACCGAAGAAGAAAAGCTTTGGTCACGATTTGATCATCAGTTCCTGAGTTAAAGAAATAATTTGTTTAATTTCCAGGTCTTTAACTCAAATAATGATCATATCGATAACAGGAGGAAAATGTCTTGAAAATGAAGATAATTAAATTTTTCCTATTTTTAAGAGTGGTAATTCCAAACAAGTTAGTGATTGCAGACCACTCCCGATTTTAACCACCTTTTCAAAAATTCTAGAGCGTCTACATCGTCTTATATATACAGCTGCGTCATTAAATTCTTAAATCAAAACAACATTTTTGTCCGATTGCCAGTATGGATTTCGAGAAAATTATTCTACATCTCCTGCAATCATTAAATAAATTAATCGACGAAATCAGAACCGTTCAAGATATTTCAAAGTGCACTTGGAATATAATTGAGTAGCACCCCCCCCACGATTACCCGCTATAGGTCCTTACGTTCGACGTTCGAAAGACGTGTGGGGCTGTGTAAGGAACGGAAACCAGTCAACTCTCCTATGAACCGGCCCCAAATCAACACAACTAAACATCAAAACAAAGTAAAGAAAATCTTGTTTATCCATCCTGATTCGATCATGAAGCTGAATTTTACCCCAGAAGGACTCTGAATCAGGCTACATGGTGGGGGGGGGGTTCCAGCTCGTGTTGCGAAGGTTGCCAAAATCATATACGGCCGAATCCACACGGTCTTCATTGTAGCGCCGCTACACTGCTGCAGAACTGAGCATGCGCATCAAAGAGCAGAGGTTCACAGGTACGCTATAGAAAGCGTCACATATACGCGCACGCGTAGAACAGAACAGAACACCTGCACGCTTTCCTCTGACTAGACACGTGTAGCACTGTGTAGCACCAGGTTTGTGTACAAGTCTATGGTGTAGCACTATTTTGCTACACGCCGTGGCCCCCTCCTTTTCGTTTTCCGTGTAGCACTGTGTAGCACCGGGTTTATGCACAAGTCTATGGTGTAGCACTTTTTTTGCTACACGCCCTGACCCCTTCCTTTTTTTTCATTTTCCCGTGAAGCACTGGGTAGCACCGGGTTTGTGCACAAGTCAATGGTGTAGCACTATTTTGCTACACGCCCTTGCCCCCCCTCCTTTTCTTGCGTCTTCGTCTGGCACTGTGTAGCATTAGTGTGCACTTGAAGGTCTGGTTCTTAGACCATCCGATTGGCTGTGCCTATGTCCTATTGCAAATCACCTGACTAAACATTCGGCGTAGCACGTAGCACTGCTGGGTGCAGACCACTGATTCAAGTGAGAATTTTTGACCAGCTCATTAGCATTAAAAGTGCATCAAAAGTATCTTTTGAAAAAGGAGATTGTTTGGCCCCCAGAATGGTGAGATTGTGTAAATCGTTGCCAGGATCAACTCCCTGGGTCTTTGAGCTTTCATATGAGGGCAGAAGGGCTAAAAACTACGGTTGAAAAATGATCCTAAGTGCCTGAGAAAGTTGTGGGTTGCCACTTGAAAAAAGGCTGCAATTAGACTTCGGAAAAATCACTTTTTTGGGGGGGGGTGATTTTG